AGGAGGATCCCTTGAGGCCATGAGTTCAAGACCAGCCTGAGCAAAAGTGAAACCCCATCTCTACAAAAAATGGAAACATTAGCCAGGCTATGTTGGCACATGCCTTTAGTTCAGCTACTTGGGAGGCTGAGGCAGGAGGATTGCTTGAGTCCAGGAATGTGAGGTTGTATTGGCTTCAATGATGCCACTGCACTTTATCCCAGGCAACAGAGCGAGATCCAGTATGCATTAAAAAAAAAAAAAAAATGATTCCCAGAATAAGAAGAGAGCTGTGGTATAGAAGGGATGACCACTCAACAAGAGCTGTAATCTTAGGTAATACAGCTACTGACAACGGACCAATAAGCAGATGGGAAAAGCCAGGGGAATAAATATCCCAACCTCTGTCTTTCTTTTTCAGACTTCAAATTTCCTGTCCGTCCCCCTCAGTTGTACTCCAGCATCTTCCATTCCTATGAGCAAATGCTACAGTCAGCTGTTCACCCCTGGGTCAATAGGGGGATTATTAAAGCACTTTATTTTCCCCATCTGGCTCCTTCCCTCTCACTGCCTTGGAGAAGGGTGTTGTTACAGTTTGCTTGACCAAGATTTTTCTTCCTACAGCATTTCACCATTGTCCCACAAGGAGTTTTTCTCCCATAGGGTAAGATTTCCTGTTTACCCTGTTTTCCAGCATGAAATGCAGATTTTTGTTTGTTTAAAAATAGTTTCAGTTGCTTTTGGGGGGACTATGAGAAGGATGGAAGGTGAAAGTAGACAGTAAGCAGCAAAGATTCAAATCTCTATAATATAAATTCTTTTATCCTACTTATGAAGATTTTCAAGAAAGAGAATTCTATAATGTTTCCTCCCATCCATATGCTGACTAATGTCCTATGACTACATTTTATCTTAAATAAGTAACTTGAAAGTTAAGCCTAGTCCTTATTTGACTGTTAGATTTTAACTATAATACACTTGAACTTTTTAAAAAATTTAATTGAAAATATGTAAAAACAAAATGTTCTCTTTAAAATATTAATTTCAGTAACAAAATTGCATTTCAATTTTGCACTAATTGCCTAGCAATAAAATATTTACATAGGGATGTTTTCTCTTTATACAACTTATAATACTATGAAAAACAAAACAAAATCAATAAAAAGATAAAATTCCATTTCCATAGTATATGACCTCTGTATTACCCTATGAGCAGTGGACAAAAATGTTGATCATCAAACAAATACTCCTGGATCTTCTAAGGACAAGGCCTCTTGGATTCTATAATCTTAAGTGTTGTGTCTGAGTGATATTTCTTTCTGATCATATCTATTTCACCATCAT